ATAGTGTGGCGAAACGCATACTCATGAACGTAAAAATTGTACCTATGAATGTCCTAAACAACTTATCTGTGGTCATTACTGTGCTAAAGGTACTTGAGAGAGAAAGAAAAAAAAATTTTTTTTTTTTAATAACACATCTTGTCTATAATAGGATGTGCCAAACCTGACGAGCATACGAAACGATGTCTAGAAAAGTGTAATTATGTATGCTCTCATGGATATGCTTGTACTCGCGATTGCTGGAAGGATTGTATCAAATGTGTTAGTCAGTGTCCTTATGAATGTCAGCATTACAAGTGTACCAAGCAGTGCAACGAGGTAAGGATGAGCTTGTAGTGAAATTAAAATGGATCAATGTACTCATATCTATCGTTTAGAGATGTGATAGACCTCCATGTAATGAACCTTGCAAACAAAGATTAAATTGCGGGTAAAACAATATATATATAATGATACTCTATGAATAGGATGACTCAATTGTTATGTTTATATATAGACACAAGTGTGCTGGTTTGTGTGGTGAACCTTGTCCTCCTTGTATAAAGTGTCAAGGAAACTTACAATGTTCAATTACTTTACGCTATCTTTACGAGTTTGAAGAAAATGAGAGATTATATGTGTTGCCTCAATGTGGATGTGGTATGTGTCATTTTTTTTTTTTAAAAAAAAAAATAAAAAAAGACAGTATATTTATCTTTCCATTTCATAGTATTTTCTGTTGAAGCCCTTGATCAATATTTTAATACAGAAGTCATGAACGGAAAGCACACCGCCGTTCGACTCTGGGGCTGTCCCTCCTGCGCAAAAACTATCTACACCGCATTACGATACAGCAATTATATCAAGACGGAAATTACCCTTGTCAACGCAATCAAACAAAAGCTGGAAAAGGAGCGCCAAAAGATTACGTTCCATGAAAGATCCCAAATCATTGCCGCTATGAATGAGGAAGTATCTTTTGGTATTCATAGCGTGGTCGGCGGTAGATGGTTTGTCTGCGAGAACCAACACCCTTACTATATCGGCGAGTGCGGTGGAGCCACCGAGGTATCCCAGTGCCCGGAATGTGGTGCCGCGATCGGAGGTCTACAGCACAAGGTCGTGGATACCAATCGTTTCTACGGTGAGTTTGATGGGTCAGAGACTCCCGCTTGGCCGGGACAGCCTGTGCAGAATAACCAACCCGATATCCCTGATTTGCGACCGCAATAATTCCATCCTCCTTGTCTATATACATTTCATCACTCTTTATATATTTACGCCTTTTCTTTATATAATAAATGGCTTCTTAATATGAATAATTGCTATAATTGAATAAATAAAAATATTTTGCAATATTTATATATATCTTTCCGTTAATGAAGGAGCATTTTATTTACATGCGTAAATGTGGTCCCTGAACCTTCTTATTTTATTGTAATAATTAACTGCAGGTAAATGAAGTAATCTGTCTCAAGTTAAAAAGACATGAA